ATCCCCTATTTACCCTTTTCTACCGCTAGCACCCCTCTTTCCCTCTGGTAATCACCATACTATTGTCTGTGTCTATGAGGTTTTTTTTGTTTTTTGTTTAATCCCTTTATCTTTTTCACCCAGTCCCCTAACACCCCTCCCCTCTGACAGCTGTCGGCTTGTTTTCTGTATCTATGCGTCTGTTTCTATTTTGTTAGTTTATTTTGCTCATTAGATCCCACATATAAGTGAAATCATTGTCTTTCTCTGACTGGCTCATTTCACTTAGCATAACACTCTCCAGGTTCATCCTTGCTGTCACAAAAGGTAAGATTTCCTTCTTTTTTTACAGCTGAGTAGTATTCCATTGAGTAAATAAATGTCTCACAACTGTTTTATCCACTCATCTACTGAAGGGCACTTGGGCTGCTTCCAAATCTTGGCTCTATTGTAAATACAGCCCCTATAAACACAGGGTTGCATATATTCTTTCAAACCAGTGTTTCAGGTTTCTTGAGATATATCCCCAGAAATGGGGATAAAAAGCAGTTCCAGTTTTAATGTTTTGAGGATCCTTCATACTGTTTTCCACAGTGGCTGCACCGTCTGCATTCCCACCAACAGTGCATTGGGGGTCCCTTTTCTCCACATCCTCACCAACACTGGTTGGTTGTTGATTTACTGATGATAGTCATCCTGACAGGTGTAAGGTGATATCTCATTGTGGCTTTAATTTGCATCTCTCTGATGATTAGTGATGTTGAGCATCTCTTCCTATGTCTATTGGCCATCTGTACGTCATCTTTGGAAAAGTGTCTATTCAGGTCCTTTGCCCATTTTAAAAATAGTATTGTTTGGGGTGTTTTTTTTTGGTGTTGAGTTTAAGTTCTTTATAAATTTTGGGTATTAACCCCTTATCAGATGTATCATTGGTGAATATGTTCTCCCATTCAGTGAGTTGTCTTTTCATTTTGTTGATGGTTTCCTTTGTTGGGCAAAAAAAGATTTTCAGTTTGATGTGGTCCCATATTTTTCTTTTGTTTCTCTTGTAAAGGAGCTATATCAGAAAAAGTATTGCTAAAATAAATGTCCAAGATCTTATTGTCTATATTTTCTTCTAGGATTTTTATGGTTTCGAGTGTTACATTTAAGTCTTTCATCCGTTTTGAGTTTATCATTGTGTATGGCATCAGAATGTGGGCTAGTTTCATTGTTCTGCACATATCTGTCCAATTTTCCCAACACAATTTATTGAATAGACTGTCTTTACCCCATTGTATGTTTTTGCCAACTCTGTCAAATATTAATTGACCATAAAGGCAAGGGTCTACTTCTGGGCGCTCTATTCTATTCCAATGCTCTCTATGTCTGTTTTTACGCCAGTACCATGCTGTTTTGATTACTATGGCCTTGTAGTATAGTTTGATATCAGGTAGCATGATTCCTCCAATTTATTCTTTCTAAATTTTGCTGTGGCTATTTGGGTCTTTTGTGGTTCCATATAAATTTTTGGAATATTTGTTCTAGTTCTGTGAAATACACCATTGATATCTTGATTATCTTTATTGTTGAAAGTATTATTTATAGATGTTAGCCTTTCCGTCCCCCTTTCCCCCAGGCCTTCACCACACTATTGTCTGTATTCATGGTTTATGCATACTCCATGTAAGTTTTTGGTTAATCTCTTCCACCCCCCCTCAGCCCTCTTCCCCTGAGATTCCTCAGTCTGTCCCATGCTTCTATGTCTCTGGATCTATTTAAATGTTTTATTTTAGAATAGTTTTTGATTTATAGAAAAGTTTCAAAATTAGTATGAAGAATTCATGTATCCTCACACTCAGTTTCCCTCTTATTAACATCTTATATTAGTATAGATTTGTTACAATTAGTGAACAAATATTGATATACTATTTTTAACTAAAATCCATACTTTATTCAGATTTCCTTAGTTTTTACCTAATCTCCCTTTTTGTCTCAGGATCCCATACAAAAAACCATATTACATTTAATTGTCATGTTTCCTTTGGCTCCTCTAGGCTGTGACAGTTTCTCAGACTCAAAATTTTTGATGACCTTGACAGTTTTAAGGAGCACTGTTAAGGTATCTTATACAATGCCCCTTAGTTTGGATTTATCTGATGTTTTTCTCACCACTAAACTGTGACATTATGGGTTTTCAGGAGAAAGACAGTAGATAGTACACTGCCATTCTCATCACATCGTATCAAGGGTTATATACTGTTAACATGATATGTCACTGCTGATTTTAACCTTGATCGCCTGGCTGAGTGTTTCCCAGGCATCTCCACTGAAGGCTTCTTTTCCCCTTTCCATACCATACTATTTGCAAGAAAGTCAGTATGTGCAACCCACAATTAAGGAGTAGGCAATTACACTGAATTATTTGGAAATCTTCTGTACAGAAGATCTGTCTATTCTCCTCCATTTATTTACTTTTTCATTTATGTATCCATTATGTATTTATATGAGTACTGATATTTATTTTATACTTCAGTTTATAACCCAAATCTACTTGATCTATTTATTTTGTTGTTCAAATTATTCCAGCTTTGGCCATACGTTGGGAGCCCTGTCAGCTGGTTCTCGTGTCCCTTTGACTTCTTGAGAGCCTCTTTACTTTCTGGCACTACAAGATCCTTCAGGCCTCTTCTTGTATACTTCCTGTCCCAGTCCTAGAATCAGCCACTTCTTCAAGCAAGGAGCCCTAGTTCCTTTCATTGAAGAATGGTATTAGAAACGAAGATCTGGGCACAGCTGGTGTATGTTTTAAAATATATCTTACTAGAGAAAGACACGAAGAAATTACAAAATGACACATTTTGAGGGCATTAAAATGAATAAAGAAAAAGTGACAGAAAACTTCAAGCTCCATTTTTATAGGTCCACAATAAAACTTAGGCAGCTTTTCACTTTGGGTATTTATTATAATGCAGAAAGTAAGAAAGTAATATTCTGGTCTTTACACATTGAATGTGATAGAATTAATGTGTTTGAGAAGGTGGCAAAGGCTAAAATAACTTCTCAATTTTATGGGGTTTTGAGGTTTCTATTTTCCAGCACGAGTACTGTTTTAATATCTCAAAACAGTATATGTATTCTCAATGTCTAACAGCCAAATAAAATCCATATCTAATAATCCATATGTATGATACTGGCATGATAAAGCCATGAGACCAGAAATTATGTGACCCTGTGCCAGCTTCAATAAGCCATATGCAGAGAGGACTGATTAAGAAATTGTTCCTGATGACTGAAGTTACACCTGAAAATATCCTCTTATTTTCCCTCTGGGGTTATAGGTAGGAGACAGGTGATAGAAGCAGGAAGCATTTGGACATTCGTGGCAATGAAATACCGAGCTACCAAACCCCACTCAGCCTGGGCCTCCTCCTAGGAACAGATGTCATCGGTCCAGATCACAAGGAGACTACATTTGGATGATCAAACATGATAAGCATCTGTTCTATTCAAACTTAAGTTCTTGGGCTCCCAAAGACACTTCCCCACATCTCTAAGATCTCAACACTCTGTGGTCCAGCAATGAAGGAAGGCAGCTGGGGCTCTGGGGGAGGAAAAGTATTCTCATTCAAACCACACTGATCATGTCAGGAAATACTTGGCATCCCATGCATACCTGTGATTAGGCTAAAAACATTTGTCTTTATTTTCAATTGTGCACCTGCATCTTTAAGTCAATTAGCATAAGCTAGAAGACCATTAAGGCATGTCAGGGATAGAAGGCCCAAGTCTCAGGTAAGCTCCTGTTCAACTTTGTCACATTATATTGTTTTCCCATGTTTTACTTTAATCTAGTCACAGCTGGGAGACTATACAATAGTATTTGAAAAGCAGAAGTTATCAGGCACTAGTTCAACTAGTGAAAAGGTCCATGGGTAGGAAAAAATTCCGATAGACCAGAGTTAAGGAGCTGTGCCTACATCCCAGTGTGGGGCCAAGAATACTGAATGAAACACTAAGACCTGGCCATGAATCTCAATTTTGCTATAATCTGGCTCCGTTCGCCCATGCCAGTTATTTCATGAACCATATACTTAATGGTTAAGTTTGTTGGATATTACTGCTATGATTCCATAGGATTCCATAATCTAACACAGTTTATTCCTGGGCATCACTGAGAGGGGTAGTCTTGAAATAATTCAAATCAACAGAATCAAGAAGATAACCAGAGTTCAGGCAATTGTGTGGTGTTTTTTTTCATTCACTCTAGCAAATGGCTAGATTACATAGAAGGTGCTGAAACTCGAAACCCTGACCTGAAATGGGGCAAGAGGAAGGGGTCTGGGAGAGAAGAGAGCTGTCATCTTCCCAAGTGTTATATAACAGCTGTTATGTCTACTCGGATGCAATAAACACTGTGTGTGAGTCTTCACTCCTTCATTCCCCAGCCCTTATCTACGTGAGCACAGTCATGGGAGAGTCATAGAAGGTTGGAGACCTTTGTTTACCGCAGGTAGCTATTTTGGTAGGTGTGCAGTTATCCCAAAAGGAGAGAAAAACAGAAGTCAGAGAAATAGGAACCAATACCCAAGAGTTACTGCTGTAGAGGCTTCCTGGTAGAATAGCAGACTTCTAATTTGTGATTCTGAAACTGAATTTATTTAATAGGTGAAGCACGTTCTGCTTGGCACCTCAGTGCAGATAACAAGATCACAGATGCTAAAAACAATTCCCTGTTTTTTCCCCCCAAAGCCGACTTTTCCCTTTAAGAGAGAATTAGAGAGAGAAGAAACCAAACCAAGCTCTGCTTTCAAAATGATCTATAGTTATAAGTTTTTACCAAAGAATTTCTGTGCCAAATGATTTAAAAACCAGAGAAAGCCTTAAAAAAAAAAAAAAAAAGCCAAGAGATTTAAGTGTATGAGAACAGCATTTCCTGCCAGAAGGATTTCCTGTTTCAGGCAACCACAGTGAGGATGTGGTGAAACATCCGCCCTGCAGTCAAGCCTGTGTTCCACAGGCCACTTCTCTGTGCTACTCACCCTTCCTCCCCAACGAAGGTGACGTACAGCTTGTTTCTCTGCAGATCTTTTCGGGAGTAGCCCATAATCTGATTAAAAGCATCTTCAAGTAAATGATCTCTTCTGATAATTAACCTGTCCGTAAGGAAACAATTTGAAAAATACAGGTTATTTCCCAATCCTTATCTTTCTAGGACTGGGCACTTGCCATTTAATTTCCATTTATCATAATTAACAAGGCAAAAAGGAGTGACTTAATATCATTGCTATCTGCCACAATGGGCACATCTGTCTTTAACTCTCAACAGCATCAGCAACTGTTGCATAAGAGAATCATTGGTAAAGAAAGCACCCCACCTAGGACCTGTGAACAATCCGAGAGGCCTTTCTGTACAGTCCAATCAATCTATCCAAGGAGGATAGGAAACGACACCGGCGCACACTCTGTTGAGTAAAGGAAGACCAACCCTATGAGGTCATGTTCAAAGCCTGAATGTACCTAGACAAGGAATTCAATTACTAAGTGCCTAGAGAGCTGACCGTGAGAACAAGAAGGAAAATGAAATTCCCAGTGTCCTCCAAAGCAGAGGAGTTTATAATTGTGCTTAATTTAATTTCTAATTTAAGTGAATCTTGAGATTCCCTAAGTGACAGATACAAATGACTGATACTTGTGGCCGATTAATCCACTTATCACAATGACAGTTAAGCAGATATCAATGCTCCTTCAGTGAAAAGAGTAATGGGAAGGGAGATACTATGGAGGGCAAAGCATGAAAGCCTGATCATCAAGACCTCTGTAAGAGAAACATCAGAAAGTCAAGCCCTGCGAGGTGTGGTGCTTGGGGTGGGCTGATGTGTCTGAGCGTGATGAAAGGGGAACTTGTGAATCACCTGTGAATTTAATCAAGCAAGCCCTCCGAGCTGTGGGGCTGTTGGGCTGGTCCCTCGACACTCTCTCAGACACCCGAACCTGCCAGTGCTGCACTGAGGCCCTCCCTCCTGGGTCCTCTCTCAGGACCCAGCGATCTCCAGTGGGGACATGGCACAGGGGTGGCGGTGGGGATGAAGGCAGTAGGGGTAAGTTGAGAACACATCGTGACGATGTTTCCATGTCCCCGTTTTAATGGAGGCGGATAAAGATAGGCAGAAACAACATTCACGACATGTTCCATTGGACAAGTGATGTTTATTTCACAGAACGAAATGGAGCTGAGCGTGGTTCCTACACTTGGGTCAGCACAGGAGGTAGTGACGTGCAAATAGGACACTGTGACAGCCTATGTCTAATGAATATGCTCTAAGCCAAGAGAGGTACTTTTCAGAAGAAAAAAACTAATCAGCTTTTAATTTTTCTTAACATTTTTTACATGAAATGTGGTAGTTTCTTTACTGTTTTTTGTTTTTTTTTTAAATATATCTTTATTGATTTCAGAGAGAGGAAAGGAGAGGAAGAGAGAAAGATAGAAACATCAATGATGAGAGAGTCATTGATCGGCTGCCCCCTACACGCCCCCGACTGGGGCTCGAGCCCGCAACCCGGGCATGTGCCCTGACTGGGAATCGAACCCCAAACGCCTGGATCCTAGGTCGATGCTCAACCGCTGAGCCACGCCCGGCTGGGCTACTGTTTGTTTTAAAATCATAAGCTTAATCATGCTTAATTCAAGAACTATGTTTTATATGGTGCTGCAATTGACAGACACCAAAATAATTATGCTAACTAAAAGAAAGGGGGCCATCCCAGACCACAATCAATTCAACTCCCTCCATTCCCAAAAGCATCCCATCCTTTCGCCATCCACAAATCCCGTAGCTTGGTTCACTTTGACTTACTTTAATTTCCCTGGGCCTTGTCCATATCCTTTAGTCTCTAACTTCCTATAAAAGTTCCTTAGTTTGGCTTCAAAGTCTCGCTTGTAAGGAGCTGGCGCCCGGGCATTGGCACGCTGCGTACCTACAGCAAACCACAAAAAGAGAGGGTGTAGGTTTGTGCAGTGTCCTGATGTTCATCGTATCATCATGAAAAAATATCACCCGGGGGGTTGAGACCAGAGTTACCAAGTAAAAGGAGGCAATCAACACGGTTAGTTCCTGCCGTTTTCAACTCTCCAGGTAAAGACTACAACGGAGCTTAAACAGGGTCTTACGAGATGTCTTCTTGGTGGCATTTTGGTTGGAAAGAACAATGCTGTCCGCATAGTTAGGATGGTGCCATGTGTTATTCAAATATGTTCCCTTTTCAGTCCAAACTAATATGAGTCAAACAGGGTTACTCATGTCTAATGGTAACTGTTGAGGGTGGAATATCTTTGCTTGCTGCTGAGATGATATCATGGCAATTAGACAGGAAGTTACAATGTGAAAAGTATGCAGTGCATAAAGCAAGAATGGTGAGTTTCCATACTTTACTCTATGGAAAACCTACGAAAACTTCTTTTGGATATGCACTGTAACTCAGAATTACTTTAGACACGTAATTACNGTTTGTTTTAAAATCATAAGCTTAATCATGCTTAATTCAAGAACTATGTTTTATATGGTGCTGCAATTGACAGACACCAAAATAATTATGCTAACTAAAAGAAAGGGGGCCATCCCAGACCACAATCAATTCAACTCCCTCCATTCCCAAAAGCATCCCATCCTTTCGCCATCCACAAATCCCGTAGCTTGGTTCACTTTGACTTACTTTAATTTCCCTGGGCCTTGTCCATATCCTTTAGTCTCTAACTTCCTATAAAAGTTCCTTAGTTTGGCTTCAAAGTCTCGCTTGTAAGGAGCTGGCGCCCGGGCATTGGCACGCTGCGTACCTACAGCAAACCACAAAAAGAGAGGGTGTAGGTTTGTGCAGTGTCCTGATGTTCATCGTATCATCATGAAAAAATATCACCCGGGGGGTTGAGACCAGAGTTACCAAGTAAAAGGAGGCAATCAACACGGTTAGTTCCTGCCGTTTTCAACTCTCCAGGTAAAGACTACAACGGAGCTTAAACAGGGTCTTACGAGATGTCTTCTTGGTGGCATTTTGGTTGGAAAGAACAATGCTGTCCGCATAGTTAGGATGGTGCCATGTGTTATTCAAATATGTTCCCTTTTCAGTCCAAACTAATATGAGTCAAACAGGGTTACTCATGTCTAATGGTAACTGTTGAGGGTGGAATATCTTTGCTTGCTGCTGAGATGATATCATGGCAATTAGACAGGAAGTTACAATGTGAAAAGTATGCAGTGCATAAAGCAAGAATGGTGAGTTTCCATACTTTACTCTATGGAAAACCTACGAAAACTTCTTTTGGATATGCACTGTAACTCAGAATTACTTTAGACACGTAATTACATACATTTTAAAAATATTGCAGGGTAGAATAATCTTGATGTAAAAACAGAATTCAAACATAATTGCAGAAGGCACATGTCTCCTGGCTGTGCAAAGAGTGCATAATACTGTTATTTGTTGCATTCCCTTTCTTTTTTTGCACAATATGAACCATTCCACCCTGCTTTGCCCACCTCCACATAGTCCCACCTTTCTTAATATGTGTCAAGCATTGTGATTATCTATAGATTATCTAAAGATTTTTAAAATATTTCCTCATATGACCAGTATCATTAATAAAATGAAGTAACAGTTCCTCTTTCCATAGAAAAATCTGGCTTTGGGTCACAAGGTGACTAACCAACGAGCCGGGATACAAAATTGATGATGAATATGGGAATCAGAGCCCTGACAAAAACACTGGATATTTCCACTAAATATTTCACAACACAATGAAAGAAACCAGAAAACAAAATTTTTCAAGTCCTGTGCATTTATACATCACAGTAAGCTCATTGAATGTTTCTTCAATGAGTGAATCAACCAAGTGGTGGTTATCTATTGCTAATGCTGTGTTAGGCTCAGCAACGGATGCTCAAAGTGAGTGAGGCGGGGTTCCTCAAGTGGATACCCTGGTTGGGAAGACAGAAATAAAACATACCAAACAATTAGAGAATACATAATTAAGTTCTAAACTAGCTGGCATGCAAACTATAAAGCAGAGGACAAAACCATTGCCCTGGGGCTGGACCCAGACCTATTAATCTATTTTGTTTGCCTTACAAAATCATTTTTAAAGATTTAAAATTAACTTTCAACATTTAAAAATCAGGAGATTTCAAGTAAAAAAAATCAGATTTCCTCTTGAAAATGACTTGGGAGATCTTGCAACAACTGGCTTGCATTTTCCTGGGGCTACAGCGGGCAGCTGCGCCATTAAATGAAGCATGTGCTCTCCACTGTCCCACAGCCATGCAGTGACACTGGCTGCCTGGACCCCCAGTATTTGCAGTGGAGATCAATGTTACAGAAAAGGGACAGTAAATGAGGATAAGTAGAGATCAGAATGGAAAAGACCTAAGGGAGCAGGCTTTATTAAAAGCAGGCCTTGTAAACAGGAAATTCTGTATTCTACCCTGGGCCTGACAGCCGGAGTTAAATAAGCCTTGCATGCATGTTCGGAAGACACTGAGGAGACCCTGATCACACAGAGTATGGGGGGAGCGCTGGGGAGTAAGTGGGGGATGAAAGCAGTCAGAAAGTCAGAGCCAAATCATGAGAGGAATTTAAAACACATAGCTGAGGAGGTTGGGCATGATGCAGTGAGCAGTGGGAATCCTTTACAGGTTCTTGAACAAGCAAATAACATATGAGTGTTATTATTTAAGAAATTTTCAGAGTGCATTGAGTGGATTAAGAGTGTCAAGGAGAAAAGACTGGAGGGTGGAGGCCCAGCTAGAAGTAGTTGCAGCAATGCAGGCCCGAGGCATGGAGGAAGACTAGACTGCAGGGTGGTGACTCAGAGGAACATTTGCAATGTGAAATAAGAATTGGTAACAGTGGGTAAGTAGAGAAGAGAACAGGAAGCTCTTGTGGTAATATACAGTTTTTAGAACATTACTATCTTTCACTGGTTGTTAAGTGCTGCTATGCCTTAGGGACCATGCTCTTTACATAGAGGATCTTGGGGAATACTCACAAGTGTAAGGAGCAGGCATTATTATCATTACCTCTGTAACTATGGAAACAGAAGTCACATGCCAGTGAAGGGTGGGTTTGGGATTTGAGCCAGGTCCATGTGATACTGAAAGCAGTGCGGGAAGTAATGCTGGTGGGACGGGGCATGTGAAGCTTTGCACAAATGGAGCTGGAGATGACAGCTGTGCAGGTGAATATGCTGGAGAGGCACTTGAGATACAGCATTGGAGTTCCAGTGAGAGATCAGGGCCTCCCCTTGGGATTAATCGAGTTGGTGCATCTATAGCACTTTGTGCAGTGCCTTTGCATAAGCAGCCCCATATCTCTCTTAGCTCTTATTGTGCTTATCTGCATAGAATGGAATACTAAAGACATGGGGGACTATATTGGGGTTTTATGACTGGATTTTAATAAAATTGGCTATTGATCAATAGTATGCCCAGAGGTCTGTTTGCATAGTTATGAATCTTCTACCCACAGAGCTAAGAGCTAAGTCACAAAGGAAACAAATAAACTTGACGTTAAGATGTCTGGGATACAGAAGAGACTCCTAGGCAGTGGTCCTCAAACCCTGACTGCACATTAGAATCGCTTGGGAAGCTCTTAAAAATCTCCATGTTCAGGCCACACCCAAGACACATTACATCAGAATCTGTGGGGTGGGACCCAGGCATAAGTGTTTTATACAGCTCTCCAGACAACTCCAAGGTGCAGCAAGCTTGCAAACTATCATCCCCCACAGCGAGGTCAAATGTACCAGATGAAACACCCGGGCAGCATCCAGGGACCAACACGGGCAATGCTTGCTGGGTACTCGAAAGAAAGGCATCACCTGCGCATGAAGGAGGGTGATCTCCACACACACGAGGCTGCTCCCCTGGACCTCCGAGGGACAGGGCAGGGCATCCCAAGTCCACTCAGGGGTGCAGAATAAAGCTGTCAGTGCTGTGGTCTGAGAAACTGCAGACTAGTAAACCCAGACAGCTCGGAAAGCAGGCTGCATGAATCGGTTTTCAAGGGCACAATCCTTGACAGGTAAGAGGAGAAAGGAGAACAGAGAACTCAACGAAAATCTTTCAGGCTCAAAAGAAACATGATTCTTTAAGAGTCCATTACTTAAAAAGAAAACAAAACAGCGTATATTATATGACTGCTGTATAATTTGAGATGCTTAAAAGGATGTGGGAAATGCCATGATGCATTCCATCAATATCAATACAGACACTTAATAAAAATTAGCTCTGACTCCATTTACGCTCTAGGTAGACTGACTCAATTATGGAGACTCTGGAGACAGACATTGTTAAATTCTTTTGCTAATAGTTCTATTATGAAAAAATCATTTACCCATTACTTCATGGTTTAAAAATTACAGTAAATTATGCTGTTGGCCCTTGTCAAACTCCTAATGTGAGTCAGGTGCAACTGCCAAGAAATTCCAGGGCAGGAACAATGCTAGTTCCGCTTTGGAAATAAAAAATGATCCTCTTGGAAGACTGAGTGAACAGAATTGTATGGGGACTGTGCCTCCAAGTGAAGCTCTGGGATCTAATACTCCTACAGAGGGAGCAATGTTATGGTCTTAAAAAAGGAAGTCGGACACAAAAAGGTCAATGCTACATTTAGAAAGTGATCAAATGCAGGGTGACTTCATAGGATAGTCAACATTATGTTAATTATTTGCAGGGAAAAATTTCAGTAACAGTATTAGCTTTTTTTTTTTTTCTCCCACCATTACTAGGCAGACCTAAAGTACTGCCATAAAGTGTCACACCATTTCTATTTATAGGTACAAAACTGCATAATCACATACAAACTAAAAAGTTCTACCTGAAAAAGATACTTCAGGTGATGCTAGAAAAATCTTTGCATCAAGATTCTAAGAAGCCTGGGTCTTTTGATTATTCTGGTTGTGCCGCCGGGAACCCAGGCTGCTTTGATGACTAGCTCTCGTTGCACTGGATGGGGAAGGAGCTCAGCCTAGTCCTACAGGGCTCCAGGCCTCTGTACTAGGATGGCTCAGAGCTCATTTCTTTCCTGGTTCACTTTCTTTAAAAAAAGGTCTCTATGACATTTAAAAAAATTTCTCTGTTAGTGAATGAGAACAGACTATCAAGCTTTGCAATAATTTCTGGACGACTCCATCTTCTGGAACATAGCTCAACAATGGAAATTAAGGGGGGAGAACACACCTCCAAAATAGCTGGCACAAAGCACAGCACTGCAGTTTTCACATTTTTGCTTTATTTCCTAAGAGTAACAGGCCCTGGGGTCATTGTTTTGAGCTGGCTCATGTTTTCATTTACATACTATTTGTTTTAAAAAACCACCTAGATAGTCTGACTTCTCAGACCCTAGCAAATTAGAAGCACTTGAGTAAAAGGGGAAAGGGAAGGGCATGCCAGTGACAGGCATCCCCTGAGAGCATTAGGGGTAGGGAACAAGGGAGACCAACAGCAGTAACACACCTCTTTACTGTGAGGGAGACAGTAGTCAGCTTCCCTTCCATTTCTGAAATCGCAGCTTTCCCATTCCACCCACCAGGGAGCACCTTCATCTGCACTATTCGGTTCCCAGATCCCCTCTGTGGGGCTGAGCAAAGAGAAGGGAGAGAACCCTGTTTCTAAAATGAAGTGTAGAGCGACTTCAGGGACTGTGGGAAAGACGGGTGAAGGGAGAGGCAGTAAAAGAGAGAGGAAGGGAGGGGAGAGAGACACAGAGAGGATGTTTGTGAAAAGAACAGGAGATGAGATAAGCAGCAGCTAAGATGCTAAGACTTCAGAAGGAGAGAGGAAAAGAGGATCCTTAAGGGAACACACTGTGTGTTAGGAGAAATAATTCCCTCTCCTATCCCATGACCTCAAGACAACCTTCTGGAAAGAGCCACGTGGCTCTTCAGTGTTCTCTGGTCTGTTTACTTCTGTTGAGTGTGACCTGGGCTGGTGCCAGTTCCCAGATAGTCCAGGTCTGGTCAAGTAACGACAGAGCTGTGCGACGATCCCCGCAAACCATGAAATAGCCTCAGTGCACTCAGAGCTTTGTACATGGAAAATTCACATGAGTGAGCACATCTCCCACACTATTAGTTAAACTGGGTATTTACTGCATTTAAATTCCTAGAAATGTGCAGTTACAAAAGGCCCTTAAATCAACCTCTGGGTCACATATTTGACATAATAAACCATACGGTGTTTGGAAAGATCTTTTCCTTCTGGCACAGCTAAGGTCGGGACTGGCATTATAACGGTCCTAGAAAAACAAACCTTCACATTCCAAAATTTTGACAAATTTTAGGTGAGCACTCTCACAGCTGCAAAAAAGCAGTGAGTCAAAGTTTCCAAAGCCCCTCTCTCTTCTGCACTTGAAAAGACATGTAAATGTGCTTGGAATGAGGAAAAGTGTGGAAAGTCTACCGCGTTCCTAGGCATTCTGAAAAAAAGAGATCATTAAAATTTATTATTGTCGCGATTTCACATTATTCCCACACCACCAAGAGGGATGAAGTTCTAGTCACAAGAAGGAAGATCAGACAACTTTTAAAACATCTCTTTGAAGTGTTTTCATGAAAACTTTAGAAATGCTAGTAGAAGGAGAGGCTATTTTACTCAGAGAAACAGAAGACTGCTCCACCGGGTAAACGAGGTTCGCTAGAACCGCCCTTACATCATGTGGAATTAGTTAGAGGGACTTCCACTGATATCAGGCAGTGCAACCCAATTCTAAGATCAAATGGAGCCCACTCAAACAGCTTAGGCCAAAAATATGGAGATGATTCTTCCTGAAAATTAAAACCACCACCAGTACTGCTAGCAATTTAGATCTACTTGGGTTCTACGTGTCTTTGGAAAATAACACGAAATGGGCTTCCAGAGTGCGTGTTATGACCACCGTGGGTTACTCATGTACAGTTGTGATGGGAAATGGAAAGAAGCAATGCAGTCAGCATTCAGAATGTTCACACGGGTCTCAGAGGGTGTCTGGCTGGTCTCCACAGCAGGTGCCTCGACGAGGCTCGAAGGGGACCGAATGCGGTGGTCTGCCTTTTCCCAGAGAGCATGGGCACAGACAAGGCCTGCAAAGGAGGCCCTTGATTGGAAGTGGTGACAACCCACGCAGCTTCATTTCTTTAATCATGAAGCATCAGGGAAAGGGGCGACCCATTTAAACTTCATCCTAGGTTCCAGTTAAGACAAAGAGCAGTCAGAATGATTAACTATACTGGCAGCCAGCTCTGTGAATCAGGAAGAAACGGATTCATATATTTCAGGTATTAATGATTCAAATATTGACAAACAATTCTTTTCAGGATCCTGTTTCCAAAAAGACAAAGAAAAAAGAATAAATTAAGATTTACTGGATACTTGTTATGGTGTTTTCCAGCGAGGTGTTCTCCAAAGAACCATGGGAGCTGATTACTATTGTTTCCATTTCACAGGAAAGAAATTCAAGGTCAGGGAGGAAGTAAATTGCCCAAAGTCACACACAGCTGACAAAGACTAAGGCCAGATGTGAATTACATCAATTTTCCCCCTAGACTTTGGCATCAAACTTCCAAGTAACATTTAAACTTACCTGTAGTGTCACATACTTATGTCTTTTCAACCTGTATCACCAAAATAGGTGTGTCCCTACTTTGTTCCCAAGCTGACCTGTGCTTTTGCCCCCAGTGTCCTGCCTGCCCACGCCCTGGGCTGTGTTGACTGCCGCTGCTCTTCCCCATGCAAGGGACGGGTGTCTTTCCACTCACATCGTCTGACCTCTACACACGCACACGCTCAACTTCTCCATCCCAAAACCCCTTCCTTAACTCTTCTTCTCCTAAGTACTGTCCTATTTTTCTTTCCTTTCATACTTGGTGAAAAGAATACTCCTGTCATTCTTTTCATGCTTTGTAAAAGAATATTCTACACTTCTGGCTTCTACTGGACATCCTATTTCATTCTGTAACTAGTCACATTCCAATTTGTGACCTATTGTTTCATGGAAACTGCTCTGGCAAAGGCCACATATAATTTCATGATTTTCAAATTTAATGGCCTCTTCTCAGGTCTCATCCTTCTTGAATCCTTTGAAAATGTGGCCTCGTTGACCATCCCTCTTCCCTGAAACCTGGCTTCCCTGAGAAGACTTCCGTAATTCCCTTCCAGAATCCATTAGCTCTCTCTTCTTCACTTGCTCCTCTATCTCAGCCCATCCTTTAACTACTGGAGTTCCTCATGTTACCAGCCCCTATCTTCTCTTCTCCCCACAGACCTGTCTTCCCTCGTTCCTCGAATCTACACTCTGGGCCTCAGCTGCTACCAGCATACCTGTGTTCCTAGCCACAACCTCTCCTGAGCTCCATGACTATCCTTCCAGTTGCGGCTGGTTATCTCCAAAGATTCTTCAACAAAACGTGTTCAAACCAAACTCATTTCCCCCCTCCCTTCTAGTCTAATCTTTTTCCTTTCTTGGTATATGGTGTTACCATCTACCTAGCAATCTAAGTGGTGAGGACTTCAGAATCCTCCTTACCTGGACTCAAAGTCCTGGTACCTCTACATCCTACATGTCTTTTCAATTAATTCCCTTTTTTCTATCTCCACTAGTCCAGCCCTTTAGCATGTCACCTGTGTTAATACAACAGCCTCCCAGTTTCTCTGATTCTAGTCTCTCATCTTCCCATCGATCCTCTGTATTGCCACCAAACTGATCTTTGTAAAACAGGATATTCTTCTGTTTGTAAATTTTTCATGGCTCCACATGGACTACAATAAAAGGCATCAATGACCAACTGGCCCTAGTCTATCTTTCCAACCTGAGCTTGAGAACTTGCCTTCACTGGCATCTATCAATTTGCCCTGAACTATTTTCATGCTTTGGTGGCTTAGCTTATGCTAGTCATTTACCTAGAATGTCCTTCTCCTTTGTTCCACCTGGTAAACTCCTATTTGTCATTCGTCATTTTTCAAGGCTCCCCTTCATACCTTCCATCTTCATTTTTCCCTAAACACTCCACCCTTAGTCTTAAAGGAAGAATTGTTCCCACATCTCTGTTCCCACACATCTCTTCAATACAGGACTGACCGCAGAGCTTTACAGGCTCGTTTGTTGACTCACTGGCCCCCTATGAATCCTTCAAAGGCAGAGAGTGTCTTATTCATCTTTGTAGCACCAGGGCTTAGTTCAGTGCTTGGATCATTAGGTGGATGCTCAATAAATCTGTGTTAAATGAAGAAATTAATAGGCCTCTTCCTGTTTGTGGTATTCAAGTAGGCTATGGCTTCATTATCACAACAATATGTGAAAACACATGTTATATATCAAAGAACACAGAGCAGCTTTTAGTAATACATATGGAGTTTGGATCTCTATTAAGATAGTTTTAAATTCTGATAGCTGTTAAAGTGTGAACAATATATTGCCTATAATGAGGATAAATACAGCTGATTTACAACATCATGACTACCTTCCTTAAAAAAAAACCTCATTTGCTAAGCTGCATTTCCTATTCATTCATTTATTCATCCACTCATTTGTTCATTTATCCATTCACTCCTTCATCCATCCATTCACTCCTTCATTCACACATACCTCTTTCAAAGAGAATTTGAGCTTAATTTTCCTTTGTTTCACCTATGACATGCCCTATCTGCCCACAGATCTGCAGTTGTCCTATCCAGTGCAGGTAGTGACTACTGCAGGGAAAACCTATCCAAGGCCATTAAACTGACCAACTGTAATTCTGTATTATTTCTTGAAAGTAGAGATTTCTTTTGATTATTCATTGAATCAGTCTCCTAACTAGAACTTTCTAAATCCAAAAAGCTAACACAGTACTTTGTGCCCTCATCTTTTCCATGGTACATTAGGCACCACGTAGTGAAAGGCCAATTCTGTACCCGACTGCTAACCTCTTTCTACTCTGGAATGTCATTATCTTCCCGTCGAAATGAATGCCCATGGAAACAAGCAAGTTTTAAAAGACATAAAGTGCCCCATAATATGTACCTGTGCCAGCACTAAAGATGTACCCAAATTGTTCCTTGGCTGTCCTTCATGAAGAACAGAACATCTGACTTTAGGGTTCACTCCTCAGAGAATTCACTGTGAGCTGCAGGTGGACTCACCTGGCGAGTTCTGGGGAGAGGACACAGGGGAGCCACGTGGGGACTGACAGTAGCTGGGGTGGAGTAAGGCATGTGGAGGCACATAAGACATTATCTCTTCTTCAAATAAACTGGGGAAAAACAAGAAACAAAATGCGTACTTTAGGCAGTGAGGTGGGGAGAAGCCTTGTTTCCACAGCGAGTAAGACAGTCGATCTCTCCTTCTGACCCACTCCAGCCGAGGCCTCATTCACACCCCAAAGGGAGCACTTGTCCCTCCCCCCGCCGGTAATTCTCGGGACAGGCTGCCTGGCTGCTGCAGCGCCTGTGAACCTGGGGTCACCTGTCCGTTCTCCTACCAACTTTGGACAACGTAATTTCTATTTTGCCACTTTAATAGGTAAGTCTGAGTTTACATGTTTTCTGAAATAGAACCTGGGCTTTTAAATTTGGGAGTAAGACTCAAACACAACAGATATTTATTGAGAATCCATAATGGACACACAGAGTACATTTTACACCTTCATTCCGAGAAACAGACTGCAGAGTCCCGGCCTTCAAAGCTCAGGGTTTAAGTGAAGAGTTAAAAGCAAAATAAAACAAAATATCTCCTAAGTAATTAGCTCCCTCGTTTACTCTGGCTTTATAATATTTCTCAAATGTGAGGACTTGGATGTTGGATTATTCAATCCCAGTGTCTTCTGTTTCTAATAGTCTTCTCACAGATAGTAAGCAGGTATCTGATATCTTGGAATCCCACAGTATCATAAATATTATGATAATGCAAAGCAGTATTGCTTGCACTAAGCTCAAATAGACAAACATTTAAAATAGAACTAAAACATCAATACAATGGTTTTTTAATTAAGATGTGGAACTGAAGAAATAAAAATAAAATTAAAATAAATTTAAAAAATAAAATAAAACTGCCTAGCTGGCAAAAAAAAAAAAAAGAAAAAAAAAAAAA